GGCAGGAAGACTCCGAAAGCGAACATGTCGCAGTGCGCGGATAGGTATCCTGTGAGGGGAGAAAGGGAAGAAGAGACGTAGTATTAATGAAAGGAGTCGTCTAACGCAGGGTATCCTGTCACGAGCTCTGGCAGGAAGACTCTGAAAGCGAACGTATCGCAGTGCGCGGATAGGTATCCTGTGAGGGGAGAAAGGGAAGAAGAGACGTCGTATTAATGAAAGGAGTCGACTAAGGCAGGGTATCCTGTCATGAGCTCTGGCAGGAAGACTCCGAAAGCGAACGTGTCGCAGTGCGCGGATAGGTATCCTGTGAGAGGAGAAAGGGAAGAAGAGACGTCGTATTAATGAAAGGAGTCGACTAAGGCAGGGTATCCTGTCACGAGCTCTGGTAGGAAGACTCCGAAAGCGAACGTGTCGCAGTGCGCGGATAGGTATCCTGTGAGGGGAGAAAGGGAAGAAGAGACGTAGTATTAATGAAAGGAGTCGACTAAGGCAGGGTATCCTGTCACGAGCTCTGGCAGGAAGACTCCGAAAGCGAACGTGTCGCAGTGCGCGGATAGGTATCCTGTGAGGGGAGAAAGGGAAGAAGAGACGTAGTATTAATGAAAGGAGTCGACTAAGGCAGGGTATCCTGTCACGAGCTCTGGCAGGAAGACTCCGAAAGCGAACGTGTCGCAGTGCGCGGATAGGTATCCTGTGAGGGGAGAAAGGGAAGAAGAGACGTATTAATGAAAGGAGTCGACTAAGGCAGGGTATCCTGTCACGAGCTCTGGCAGGAAGACTCCGAAAGCGAACGTGTCGCAGTGCGCGGATAGGTATCCTGTGAGGGGAGAAAGGGAAGAAGAGACGTCGTACTAATGAAAGGAGTCGACTAAGGCAGGGTATCCTGTCACGAGCTCTGGCAGGAAGACTCCGAAAGCGAACGTGTCGCAGTGCGCGGATAGGTATCCTGTGAGGGGAGAAAGGGAAGAAGAGGCGTCGTATTAATGAAAGGAGTTGTCTAACGCAGGGTATCCTGTCACGAGCTCTGGCAGGAAGACTCTGAAAGCGAACGTATCGCAGTGCGCGGATAGGTATCCTGTGAGGGGAGAAAGGGAAGAAGAGACGTCGTATTAATGAAAGGAGTCGACTAAGGCAGGGTATCCTGTCACGAGCTCTGGCAGGAAGACTCCGAAAGCGAACATGTCGCAGTGCGCGGATAGGTATCCTGTGAGGGGAGAAAGGGAAGAAGAGACGTAGTATTAATGAAAGGAGTCGTCTAACGCAGGGTATCCTGTCACGAGCTCTGGCAGGAAGACTCTGAAAGCGAACGTATCGCAGTGCGCGGATAGGTATCCTGTGAGGGGAAAAAGGGAAGAAGAGACGTCGTATTAATGAAAGGAGTCGACTAAGGCAGGGTATCCTGTCATGAGCTCTGGCAGGAAGACTCCGAAAGCGAACGTGTCGCAGTGCGCGGATAGGTATCCTGTGAGAGGAGAAAGGGAAGAAGAGACGTCGTATTAATGAAAGGAGTCGACTAAGGCAGGGTATCCTGTCACGAGCTCTGGCAGGAAGACTCCGAAAGCGAACGTGTCGCAGTGCGCGGATAGGTATCCTGTGAGGGGAGAAAGGGAAGAAGAGACGTCGTATTAATGAAAGGAGTCGACTAAGGCAGGGTATCCTGTCACGAGCTCTGGCAGGAAGACTCCGAAAGCGAACGTGTCGCAGTGCGCGGATAGGTATCCTGTGAGGGGAGAAAGGGAAGAAGAGACGTCGTATTAATGAAAGGAGTCGTCTAACGCAGGGTATCCTGTCACGAGCTCTGGCAGGAAGACTCTGAAAGCGAACGTATCGCAGTGCGCGGATAGGTATCCTGTGAGGGGAGAAAGGGAAGAAGAGACGTCGTATTAATGAAAGGAGTCGACTAAGGCAGGGTATCCTGTCACGAGCTCTGGCAGGAAGACTCCGAAAGCGAACATGTCGCAGTGCGCGGATAGGTATCCTGTGAGGGGAGAAAGGGAAGAAGAGACGTAGTATTAATGAAAGGAGTCGTCTAACGCAGGGTATCCTGTCACGAGCTCTGGCAGGAAGACTCTGAAAGCGAACGTATCGCAGTGCGCGGATAGGTATCCTGTGAGGGGAGAAAGGGAAGAAGAGACGTCGTATTAATGAAAGGAGTCGACTAAGGCAGGGTATCCTGTCATGAGCTCTGGCAGGAAGACTCCGAAAGCGAACGTGTCGCAGTGCGCGGATAGGTATCCTGTGAGAGGAGAAAGGGAAGAAGAGACGTCGTATTAATGAAAGGAGTCGACTAAGGCAGGGTATCCTGTCACGAGCTCTGGTAGGAAGACTCCGAAAGCGAACGTGTCGCAGTGCGCGGATAGGTATCCTGTGAGGGGAGAAAGGGAAGAAGAGACGTAGTATTAATGAAAGGAGTCGACTAAGGCAGGGTATCCTGTCACGAGCTCTGGCAGGAAGACTCCGAAAGCGAACGTGTCGCAGTGCGCGGATAGGTATCCTGTGAGGGGAGAAAGGGAAGAAGAGACGTAGTATTAATGAAAGGAGTCGACTAAGGCAGGGTATCCTGTCACGAGCTCTGGCAGGAAGACTCCGAAAGCGAACGTGTCGCAGTGCGCGGATAGGTATCCTGTGAGGGGAGAAAGGGAAGAAGAGACGTATTAATGAAAGGAGTCGACTAAGGCAGGGTATCCTGTCACGAGCTCTGGCAGGAAGACTCCGAAAGCGAACGTGTCGCAGTGCGCGGATAGGTATCCTGTGAGGGGAGAAAGGGAAGAAGAGACGTCGTACTAATGAAAGGAGTCGACTAAGGCAGGGTATCCTGTCACGAGCTCTGGCAGGAAGACTCCGAAAGCGAACGTGTCGCAGTGCGCGGATAGGTATCCTGTGAGGGGAGAAAGGGAAGAAGAGACGTCGTATTAATGAAAGGAGTTGTCTAACGCAGGGTATCCTGTCACGAGCTCTGGCAGGAAGACTCTGAAAGCGAACGTATCGCAGTGCGCGGATAGGTATCCTGTGAGGGGAGAAAGGGAAGAAGAGACGTCGTATTAATGAAAGGAGTCGACTAAGGCAGGGTATCCTGTCACGAGCTCTGGCAGGAAGACTCCGAAAGCGAACATGTCGCAGTGCGCGGATAGGTATCCTGTGAGGGGAGAAAGGGAAGAAGAGACGTAGTATTAATGAAAGGAGTCGTCTAACGCAGGGTATCCTGTCACGAGCTCTGGCAGGAAGACTCTGAAAGCGAACGTATCGCAGTGCGCGGATAGGTATCCTGTGAGGGGAAAAAGGGAAGAAGAGACGTCGTATTAATGAAAGGAGTCGACTAAGGCAGGGTATCCTGTCATGAGCTCTGGCAGGAAGACTCCGAAAGCGAACGTGTCGCAGTGCGCGGATAGGTATCCTGTGAGAGGAGAAAGGGAAGAAGAGACGTCGTATTAATGAAAGGAGTCGACTAAGGCAGGGTATCCTGTCACGAGCTCTGGCAGGAAGACTCCGAAAGCGAACGTGTCGCAGTGCGCGGATAGGTATCCTGTGAGGGGAGAAAGGGAAGAAGAGACGTCGTATTAATGAAAGGAGTCGTCTAAGGCAGGGTATCCTGTCACGAGCTCTGGCAGGAAGACTCCGAAAGCGAACGTGTCGCAGTGCGCGGATAGGTATCCTGTGAGGGGAGAAAGGAAAGAGTGAACGGATGATGACAAGAGTTTTCTACCGTGGGGTAAAAAAAAAAGGCGTACATGTCGCAGTGCGCGAATGGGTACCCTGAGGGGGGGGGGAAGTGGAGAGGAGTAGCGGGAACACATGGATTGGGACTGGACATAGGAAGGAACATTGTGAGGTGTGAGCACATTTCGCCTCTCTCCTTCAGTCCATCCAGCCTTGAAATGGACTGAAAGAGAGAGGCGAAAGAGGTACTACAACACTCACCTCTCTCAGAATAAGCTCAGCCTATTTTGCCTTGAGCAATGGTAGCTGCTAGAACACGCAACACGGCGACTAGCCTCAATGTCTCCATGCAACAGGCAGAATACACAACATGCGGACTCACCTCTCTCAAAGTACGATGGATCCATATAGCCCATCGACCCAGCTAGGCTTTAAGGTGGAGCTCACCTCGCTCAAAGTAAGATGGGTCCATATAACCCATGGACCCAGCCATTTTCTGATCTGACTAGGCAGTCCTTTCATCACACAAGGGACCGCCAACACAGCAGCTCACCTCTCTCAAAGTAAGACGGGTCCATATAGCCCATCGACCCAGCCACTCTCGTCGTGATGAATAAATCCTGCCTGGTGAATTGCTGCCAGCCCTTCAAGACTCCCCTCTGCTACAACCAGTCGCTCCTTCCAAGGGAAGGGCTTTTCGCCGTTCCTCGCTGTTTCGACGGGGGGGGGGTGAGCAAGGCAATTTTTTAGATGCATAAAAAGCATGTTGCGATGAAAGAATTCCTTCAAATTGAGGCTGCCAGCCCTTCAAGACTCCCCTCTGCTACAACCACTCGCTCCCCTCTGTGTGTGTGCGCGTGCGCATGCGCGTGAGTGTGTGTGCGTGTGCGTGCGTGTGTGTGTGTGCGTGCGTGCGTGTGTGCGTGCGTGTGTGTGTGTTCTTTTTCTCCCACACCTCAAGAGTCGGTCTCTGTGGCACCCAATAAAATGTCGCACGGACAGACTGAAAACCTTTCAGCAGCTTTCGCAAAAGGCCATTGTAAACCCATGTCTGCCATTTCCACCCCATTCCACCGCAATCCACACACCCCTACCCTTTTCTGATCGCTGCGAGACATCCCTGCCCGGGACAAACCCAGAGACCATTGAGATGATTTGCCCTAGCATGTGTACACCTGCCCACCCCATTCCACCGCATTGAACCCCTCCTTGTACCTTTCTCTAACCGCTGCGAAACATCCCCCCCTGGGACAAATTCAGAGACCATTGAGATGGTTTGGCCCATCAGAGATGTGCATATGCTCACTCATCCCACTCCACCGCATTATACCCTCCCATACCTTTTTCTAACCGCTGAGAAACATCCCCTCCCGGGACGAACTCAGAGACCATTGAAATGGTTTGCCCCCACATGGCCATTCCCAGCAGCCGCAACACGTTGGGATGGCGGAGAGCCGTCATTACCATGATCTCCGTCTGAGAAGGGTGGGGGGAGAAGGAGGAAAGTAACCATTGAAATGGTTTGCCCCTGGACGGTCATTCCCAACAGGCGCAGCATGTTGGGATGGCGCAGGGCTGTCATCACCATGATCTCCGTCTGAGAAAAGGGGAGAGGGGAGAGGAAGGAGAGGGCGAGGGGAAGAGGGGAAGGGGGAAGGGGGAAGGGGGAAAGGGGGGGAAGGGGAAAAGGGGAAGGGCGAGGTTAACTGCTGGAGAGCCGTCATCACCATGATCTCCGTCTGAGTAGGGCGGGGGAGGGAGGGGGGTTGGGGAAGAGAAGAGAGAAGAGGAGGGGGAAGGGGAAGGGACAATGGTGGAGAGCCGTAATCAGCATAATCTCCGTCTGTAGGAGGGAGTGAGGGGTTGAGAGAACATATCAGGTTAACGTGCGGAGGGGTGTCAAGACCATGACATCCGTCTGAGGAAATGGAGGACGACAATGGGAAAACGCAGGGAAAATGGAGGGGAGAAGGAGGTGGCAGAAGAGAGGAGGAGAGGGAACTCGTGAGGGGTCAAGGATGGGCAGGGAAACAATGGGGTCACCAACAGGGGGGACACGCATAGGGGGGGCAGGGGACACGCATGGGGGGCACGCATGGGGGGGACACGCATGGGGGGGACACGCATGGGGGGGACACGCATGGGGGGGACACGCATGGGGGGGACACGCATGGGGGGGACACGCATGGGGGGGACACGCATGGGGGGGACACGCATGGGGGGGACACGCATGGGGGGGACATGCATAGCGGGGACATGCATAGCGGGGACACGCATAGCGGGGACACGCACACGCATAGGCGGGACACGCATAGTGGGGACACACGTCTGGGGGTTCTGATCAGCATCAGACCCTGGTGGTATGATGAGATGAGAGGCGGACAGTCTCTCACCATCAAGTGACTTTTGAGTCGACTCAAAAGTCCGTTTTGGGACGTCTAAAGACCCTGGTGGTGTGATGAGATGAGAGGCGGACAGTCTCTCACCATCAGCTGCTGGGGGTTTCTTTCTTAATTCTTAACTTACTCTGAATCACACGTGGGAGGGACACGCAGGGGTCCTGAGGGGCATTAAGCCCTGCAACTGTGATGAGATGAGAGGCGGGCAGTGACTCACCATCAGCTGCTCCCTTCCCCCAAAGATGGCTTTTGAGTCGATCTGAACTAGAGTTACTCTAAAACACACGTGGGAGGGACATGCGGGGGTTCTGAGGGGCATTTAGCCCTGGAACTGTGATGAGATGAGAGGCGGGCAGTAACTCACCATCAGCTGCTCCCTTCCCCCAGAGTCTTGATCCTCCTCAATATGACACGTCTTCACCGCCACCGGAAGAAACCGTTTTCCATCCACCTCCACCACTTCCGACTCATCCAATCCCTCCTCTACTCCCTCCTCCCCTTCCTCCTCATCCTCCTCCTCCTCATCCTCTTCATCCCCTCCCCCGTCCCCTTCTCCCCCCCCAAGAAGCAGCATGCCCTTGTAGACGGCGCCGAAGCCGCCTTCCCCCAGCTTGGTGCGCCAGTCGCCCGTCGCCCGCCGCAGCTCCTCCTGCGAGTACCGCGGCAGCGCGCCCTCCGCCCCCACCGCGCGCATCGCCACCGGCTTCAGGTCATGGCTTTCTGAGGAAAGGGAAGGGGGAGGGGAGCGGAGGGGGAAGGAAGAGGGGGGGGGGGGGATGGGAGAGGAGGGGGGGGGAGGAGGGGGAGGAGGAAGGGGAGGAGGGGGGGAAGGGGGAGGGAGGAGGAAGGGAGGGCAAGGAAAATGAGAGGCCGTCCCACCGCCCCCACCGCGCGCATCGCCACGGGCTTCAGCGCACCGTCCTCCGGGGGGAGGGATAAACAGGAATGGATAAAAACTGGAAATAGTCCTGCGAATACGCGTGCGTGCGTGCGTTGCGTGCAGAGAGTGCGCGCGTGCGTGCATGCGCGCGATCGTGTGAGTCCTTTCTTGCGTCCAGCGGATCAGTACTGTTACGGGCAAAACGAGCCGCGCACAGTCCCACGAGAAAACCGGGACACAGTGAACCCAACCGCATTGAACCGACCAGCAACCCGTTAGACGCTGGGCATATCGCGTCAAGCCGTTACTCATGACTCACTCGTGTCTTTGCTTTCACGTGCGGACGGCCCTCCCCCGAAGCAGCAAAAGACCATACTCAAGGCTTGGTGTGCGATTAAGGGAAACTTGGGATTTTGAAGCTCGAGCTCGGAAAGGGACGATCGCGGTGGCAGGTAGTGTCGATACGGTATGCTACAAGAATGGTAAATAACTACCGTGTGGTGCTAGGGTGTTTCTTCCTCGTTTGGTTGGCGTGTTTTGTTCAAGTAAAGAAGGCACGGCGTCTTCAACCGCAATATTTGCTAACTACTAGATGATCGAACCGTTCTAAATATAGAATTTTGCACGATGACAACTAACAGACTAAGCAAGAGACGTACGAGATTATAAGCACTCTAGGAGTTCCTGAAGTACTCTTAAGTGAGATGATAAGTAGTCTATGTGTTCTCTGACAAAAACTAGAAGCTGTTTAGTTGTGGCACCTAGAAAAACAGCCACTCAGGCCTTGGGATTGGAAGCTGGAACGCATTACTGTACAGTGTACACAAAGAAGAAATGCAATGGGCGGACGTATTACAACGAAGTGGGACGCCACGACGGGAGTCGTGAAAACGTGCCATCGGGGAAATTGCGGGCACCGTCGGGAAGTCTCTTGAAATCGTCAAGGTCAAGGTTACCTCCAATGAAAGCACGGCGCGGAGACACAGGGCATGCGGAAGTTCAGGTCCAGCTGGAACCGACAATCAAGCAATGCAAAATCTGCCCGCAAACAATTTTGCGACCTTATAGCGCGTTATATGCTGGCGAATTCTGTACCTGCAGAGTTTCCCGCCTTCGAATCCCCACCCTCGCAAGGGACTACAACGATGGTCATGCGCCATTGCCGGGCAGGGAGGAATTGGGAAGTGTACACATCTGCCTTGAACGAGGAATGAGGGAGGGCGACGTCAGGTTGCACAACTTCCGTGCGCTCACTGCGGTCAACTCTGTTTCGTCACGGTGCAAAACGGTAAACCCTGAGAACCGCTTTCTAACATGCGATACCGTCTGAGCCACGATATGAGAAATGTGCCACCTGAGGATTCAGGAACTGCCTCGTTTACTGCGTTGGCACGAAACATGCGTCAGAAATGACTTGCCTCCCTCCCACACCCCACCGAGCAATGAACCTCACAAGAGAGTGGTTGAGTAAGCAATTGTGCACTCTGGACTGGATTTCTCGTTTATCACTCTGAACCGCTACTCACCAGCCTGAACACTCCTCGTACACGAATTGCAAAACAAACGAAAGCGCGCACAAGTGGTTGGTTGCTTGTTCGGGTGTGAAGTGAACGTTGAATCAAATTGCATTGAAGTGATTTTCGAAAACACTGCTGTGAAATCGAATCGCGTGGGACAACTTTAGAATGCTACCTGGGCTGCATTTCAACGGATACATGAGACTTGCCGCCCTCAAACATATGTCACAACTAGCTTTTCAACCAGGACAAACGCATTCCCAGAACTAGAGCAGCTGATAATCGTCTGAAAATTGACGACGATATTGAGAAACGGTTGCGGTCGTCTCGTACGCAATTGGTCGATCCTAAGCATGGTCCACATTTTTTTCGAATGGCTAGATGTCTCGTTCAACGCTTGGCACACGAGAGCGCGGGTTCTGTATGTTGTGTCGTTTATAATTTGAGCTAGGCTCGGCAATCGAACTAGCGACAGCCGTAGCATACCGCATCCCCACAGCTTCCCACCGCGATCATCCCTTTTCGCACCCTCGTTGATATTTCCCGGAATTCTCCTAAGCGCACCGCGCCTCGCTATGCGGACCTTCTTCTCCTGCTTCGGCGGACCAATCCCGACTGATGAGACGGCAGAAAGGAAGACCCACGAGACGGCAGAACGACTGGCCCACGAGACGGCGGAAAGGCCGTTCGTCTCGTCCTGCTTCGGGGGAATGCCGACCCATGGGACGGCACAACGGTCGTCCTTCTCTTCCTATTTCGGGGGCTTTCCGTCGTCTTCCCGCGGATCCACGGGTGAGTCGCGGTGATGAGATCATGTGTTCTGCTGCCGTCCAAATCCTTCTTGTTTCAAGAAAGTCGTGAAAAGTCGTCTTCCCGTGGAAGCACGGGTGAGTTACGGCGTCGATCCGGATGGTGGGTGCGGACGGCACGCTCCCCTACTCCACACACCCTTCTCCCCCGCCGCCCCCCACCCGAGAGGACCGGGCGGCGTCCCCTCACACCTGCCCCTTCCTCCCCCCCTCTCCCTCCACCTTCTTCCTCAAACCATGAATTAAAGCTCCGGAGTCCAGACGGGGAACCTGCCACGCTGGAATCGTGTGCCCTTTTTTCTTTCAGACATCCCACGAACACGATCAAAGCTCAAGATGGGCGCGAAACGTGCCACGGTGGTCCATGCGATGTTTTCCAGGCGTACGATACTGTGTACGGCGTTTTCTGTTACCGTCAATTCCGCTAACGCAAGGACGGCGAAACAGAACGTGGCAGCGTGGCGCTGAGCTAGAAATTGAAAACCAGCCAATGGAAAAAATATTCCGCAAGAAACACCGCGGACTGTACCAATCTTTCCGACTTTGCCCCTTTGAGAATTCCCCAGAATCCCGCGGCAAGCCGAGCGCGGAAGCAATCAGCGCAACTGCAAAAAGACTTGACGGCTGTGCGCACGACACAAGCATCGTAATTGACGTGCCTCCCAAACCAAGGAACTCATTCGCGAAGGTCGCAGACACATGGGTGATTCGCGAATAAGTTCCTTGGGTGGTTGTTCGGCTGGAACGGTACTGTAGCTGGTTTCATTTGTCGACATCGAGCCGCGTGGAAAACTTCGATGTGTACACATTTGAGACAAGCAGTACAGTACACCAACGGATAGTCTCAAGGGGGGACTTCCTAAGTTCACTTTCCGTTGAGCTCAAGCGGTTGAGAAGAAGGCTGAACACTTCACCACTTTGAACCGCCACGCACCAGCCTGAACATCTTATGCATGAGCTCTGAACAAATTTTATCGAGCCTCCCTCAACGTTGGAGACACAAATCTGTCAAATGCGTTCTGGGTTACCAGAGCAGCTACGAAAATCATCCTCTTGAATCCGGCAGCGAAGCACACGTATAGTAGGGTTGGTTAGATCGTCTGGGCTTTAACAAAAACGCGGTTTCAGAACGTCATGTCGTTTTAACTTGAGCTAGGCTCGGCAATTTAACGAGCAACAACACCCAGCGAAGCATACCGCATCCACACCGCTTACCACCGCAATCTTCCATTTCCGAACCTGAGTCGCAGTATGCCGAACTTCTGTTCCTGCTTCGGAGGGAACCCGACCCACGAGACGGCACAACGGCCGGCCCACGGGACGGCAGAAAGGCCGTCCATTTCCTCCTGGTTCGGGGGCATGACGTCATCTCTCGGTGGCGCCGCGGGTGAGTCACCCTCAAGAGATGCGGCGGTGGGGGCGGAGGGCGGAGGGCGCGGTGGGGGCGGAGGGCGCGCTGCCGCGGTACTCGCAGGAGGAGCTGCGGCGGGCGACGGGCGACTGGCGCACCAAGCTGGGGGAAGGCGATTCCCCACACACCCCACTTCCTCGCACAATCCCCCTTCCTCCTCTCTTCCTGCTTCCCGTGATCCCCCATCCCCGTCCCCTCCCCACCCCCATCACCTCCTTCCCCCCTTACCCCCACGCTGCCGTCTCCCCCCATCCCCTCTCAGCAGACAAAGAACTAGATCCCGTGCTTATGCGCGCGGTGGGGGCGGACGGCGCGCTGCCGCGGTACTCGCAGGAGGAGCTGCGGCGGGCGACGGGCGACTGGCGCACCAAGCTGGGGGAAGGCGGCTTCGGCGCCGTCTACAAGGGCTTGCTGCTGCTTCCGCGAATTGGGGGGGATGGGGAAGGGGACGGGGGAGGGGGAGGGGATAGGGAAGGGGATGGGGAGGATGGGGAGGAGGAGGAAGGGGAGGAGGGGGTTGAGGAGGGATTGGAGGGGTTGGAAGTGGTGGAGGTGGATGGGAAGCGGTTTGTTCCGGTGGCGGTGAAGATGTGCTTGACAGAGGGCGATGTGCACGGGGGGAGAGAGCAGCTGCTGGTGAGCCTCTGCCTGCCATGCTGGTGCGATAAGCCGGTTCCTCCTGACACTTTCGGGTGCACGTTTCATGTACTCCTGCTCTGCTCCTCATGCTTCACACTCACCTCCTTCTGCCCAAGTTAACTTGACCTGCTCTCTCAGCCATTCATTGTCCCTTCCATTGCCTTTTCCACCCCCCTGTCCCCCCACCCCTCTCCCCCTTTTCTCAGACGGAGGTCATGGTCATGACGGCTCTCTGCCATTCTCCCTTCCCCCTCCCCCTCCTCTCTTCTCCTCCCCAACTCCCCTCCTCCCTGCCTTCTCAGACAGAGAACATGGTGATGACGGCTCTCCAACTGTTAGATCTGATATGTTCTTGCAACCCAACTTACCCGCTTCTCCCCACTACCCTCTCCTCCCCACTACCCTCTCCTCTCTCCCCCATCAGACGGAGATCATGGTGATGAAGGCTCTCCGCCATCCCAACGTGCTGCGGCTGCTGGGAGTGGCCATGAAGGAGCAAGCCATCTCCACCTATATTGGTGTTACTTTTGAGAATTCTCGAAAGTAACATCTCCACCCCCTCTTCCTGCCCCCATTTGGATCCCCCTGCACACCCTCATCATATGTCACGTTGCCCCCCGCTCCCCCTTCCCGTCCGGCCCCTCTCCTCCCTCTCCTCTTCCCTCCCTCCTCCCTCCTCAGACGGAGATCATGGTAATGACAGCTCTCCGCCATCCCAACGTGCTGTGGCGGCTGGGAATCGCGATGATGGGGCAAAGCATCTCCAGCCGCTCTTCCTGCCGCCTTTTGGGCCCCCTGCACCCACCGCCCTTGTCACATGTCAGGCAGAAATCATGGTCCTGATGCTCCCCCGCTTCTCCTCCCCTCCGCTCCGCCTTCCCCCTCCCTCCTCCCTCCTCAGACGGAGATCATGGTGATGACGGCCCTCCGCCATCCCAACGTGCTGCGGCTGCTGGGAATGGCCATGTGGGGCCAAACCATCTCCTTGGTCTCTGAGTTCGTCCCGGGTGGGGACGTTTCGCAGCGGTTAGAGAAAGGTAGGGTGGGGTGGAATGCGGTGGAATGGGGTGGTGCGCACATGATAAGGGGCAAACCATCTCCATGGTCTCTGAGTTTGTCTCGGGCGGGGATGTTTTCGCAGCGGTTAGGAAAAGGTACGGAGTGGTGCAGTGGAACGGGGTGTAATGCGGTGGAATGGGTTGAGCATGTGCACATTTGATGGGGCAAACCATTTCAATGGTTTCTGAGTTCGTCCGGGCGGGCATGTTTCTTTTTTGACGTCGCAAAAGGCGCTTCGTGAAAGGTAACGCGATATTGTGAAGTGAAGTGTCGTCATGATGCAAAGGGTTCTGAGAAAAAGACGTCTCGTGTGTTGCACCCATCATGCGATGCTGCACCTACCTCTGTCCAAACCCTTTCTTCTTCCTTCAACTCGATGGATGTTTTGCACTCCCCCTCTCGGCTGTGTGGTAGGAGATTGGGAAGGAGCGCTAGGCGTGATGCGGTATGATGCGGTGTGATGCAGTGTGGTGTGTTGTGATACAGTGTGATGCGGTGCGCATACTCTCTTCCCCCACCCCCCTTCTCCCCCCCCTGCTGTCTCTCCACCCCCCTCTTTTGTCTGGTTCGTGTACAAGCAGCAGCCAAAGGCATAGAGCCCTTTCCCTGGAAGGACCGGCTGAGCATGGCGGTGGGGAGTGTGGCGGGGCTAGCAGCTACCAACCCTCCCCCCTTTCCCCCTTCCCTCCTCCGCCCTCTCACATGTGCAAGCAGCTACCAAGGGCGTGGAACCTTTCCCCTGGAAGGACCGGCTGAGCATAGCGGTGGGGAGTGTGGCGGGGCTGGCAGCGATCCACAAGGAGGGATTCATCCACCGTGACTTCAAGGCTGCTAATGTGCTTCTAACGAAGGTGAGTCTCCCTCTTGAGACGTCTCAAAAGTCATCCACCGTGATTTCAAGGCTGCCAACGTGCTTCTCACCACGAGTCCCCCTGTAGTGTCCTTGTAACGAAGAGAGACTTGGTAATGCAATTTTTAGCAAGGTGAATCCGTCAATGTTCTTATAACGAAGTTGAGTCTTTCAAGGAGCTTCTAAGGAAGTCAAGTCCTGGTAGCATCAAACCAAGGTGAGTCATGCCAACGTGCTTCTCACCAAGGCAAGGTGACTCCCTCCCAGATGGTGAATATAGATAATATTATTATTGTCATTATTATTATTATTCTTGTTGTTATTATTGTTTTTGTTTTTGTTATTGTTATTATTATTATTATTATTATTATTATTATTATTTCTATTGCCTGTGCCCTTTTTTGTTGTTTTTTTTTTTTTTTTCTGCATCTTCTCAGGATCTCGTGCCAAAGGTGGCAGATTTCGGGCTAGCCAAGACCTGCCAGGACAGGACACATGTCACGACACGAGTGGCGGGATCACAGGGATACATCGACCCCTCGTATTTTGAGACAGGTGGGTGCTTTGTAGCCCACCAATGCATCTGTGTTTTTCTTCTGGTGCCTTCACTGCTGCTGCTGCTGCTGCTGCTGCTGCTGCTGCTGCTGCTGCTGCTGGCACTGGTTCTGTCACGAGTGCTGGCACTTGTGCTGTCACTGGTGCTGTCACTGGTGCTGTCACTGGTGCTGGCACTGGTGCTGTCACTTGTGCTGTCACTGGTGCTGTCACTGGTGCTGGCACTTGTGCTGTCACTGGTGCTGGCACTTGTGCTGTTGTCATGGCTGTTGTCACTGCTGTTATCACTGCTGTTGTCACTGCTGACTGACAGACTTCCCCTCCCCACCCATCAGGCTTACTGACAGAGCACTGTGACATCTTTGCGTGGGTGGGGCATCTTCCTGCCCGAGCTCCTCTTTCAGGCAGAGCATTGTGGCACCTGTGAACCTTCCCTTCTAATCCTCTACCTCCAACCATCCCCCCCTCCTCCCCACCCATCAGGCTTTCACAGAGCACTGTGACACCTTCGCGTGGGGCATCTTCTTGCTAGAGTGCCTCTTGGGCTGCTCAGTGCACGCCATCCCATCCCCTCACCTCACCTCATCTTCCCCCTTTTCCACTCCTCAGGTATACTGACAGAGCACTGTGACACCTTCGCATGGGGCATCTTCCTGCTAGAGCTCCTCTCGGGCTGCTGCGTGAACGACCGGCCATTCTCACACCTGCAAACTCTAGCCACGGACCCGGATCTCTCGGACTACTCCCAAGTGGTGGATAGGAATCTGGAGGGGCAGTGGAGTGAGGAGGAGGTGCGTGTCGTGCTGTCTGCGATATGTGATGCGATTCAGCCTGATTGGGGGAGCCGGCCCACCACAAAGCAATTGTTAGAAAGATTAAGAAAGCTTGCACCAGATAGTAGTAGCAAGTAGGGAGTGTAGATATAAATATTGAATATTAGCATTCATAAAGTTAGTGTTGTTTGTAGCCACAAAATGTGGAAAGATTTATTTGAGACCTATTCTCCGCCAACCGATTGGATAGCTTTGGTTTTGCCTCACAACGCCACAAGCACTGTCCACCGATTTTCCCAGCGCGCCCCGCCACAAGCCGCTTCCAAGCCGAGCAAGCCACGTTTGCCAAACCACAACCAATCAAAACTCAGCAAGGTGGCTACGGCTTACCTCAACCACAACATCCCGAGCCTAATCATCCAGCCGCCAAAGAATCCAAAGACGGAAAAATAATTTATTTGTAACCGTTATGGGACTCAACAACATATTTGGTAAAACAATAAAGGGTACGGTCACTGGAAAGGGTGTTTTCACGCGACTGATAAAATGTTTCACAAAATCAGTCACTATCAAGTGGTAAAAAAACGGGAATGGTCATAGATGAAACTCCCGCCAAAACAAAATGAAACCCTAAAAGAATCTGGATGCATTTTCGGATGAATCAACCCTAAACACGTAACTCGCCAGGTGTTTAGGGTTGATCCGTTCCCAAACCGCATCCGATTCTGATTGGGGTTTTTTTTTTTTTTTTTTTTTGAAGTTAGCATATTGGTTGGGCGCGAGCGGGAATTTTGTTGAGTTTCAAGTTTTTTTTGTGGGAGTTACATGTGTGACCATTCGCGTGATTTTTTACCTGTTGTTAGTGACTGAATCCGTGACCCCACTTACCAAATTATCAGAAAACCCGATACAGTGACCGTACGCGTTTACCATTTACGTTACCGAGTCCCAAGTTGGTTACTTATGGCATGTTTTCCCTCCACGGACAGCCCCCCTGTGGCTGCATTCGGTTTGGAGCCCAAGCGCCAAAGCTAGGCAACCTGGTTCGGTGCGGACGTGGTTGGTTGCTTCATCAGCGACACGGCAATCCCTTGAAATCGAGGGACTAGGATACAGAAGACCAAGACCAAACGGGTGCTTCTGTGAAAGCAGCAACCAATTTCGCTTTGGGAAGGTTTGCCTTTGCCTGGTTCTTAGACAAGGAATACTGGGCTTCCTGTCTCCGATTATCTTCTCCGCAGCTACTGCTCCCATATTCTCAGCTCAGCTGATTCAGAATCGCGCCTTCGTCGCTCTCAGATTGACTATCAAGGTTTACCTGAAATTGTTATTTTCTCCCTCCATCTACGCAAGCATGACCGGCGCCGTGCCTCGCGGCATCCTGTCGTTAGCCATCCCGTTACTCTTACTCGCAGTCGCTGCGTCCGCGCAGCAGATCTGTCCGTTCACAGGCAAGCCTCCAACGAAACCCACGAAGTCGCTGTACCGATGCGTGGCGGAGAGCGAGCTCGCGTGCTGCTCCGCGTGCGACGACTGGGTCACTGCAGCGACGGTGCTCGGACAGAACGGAACGAGAATTCTGTCGACGCTCTTCTCTCCAGGCACCACATTTGAAGCGCTCGACAAGTTCAAGGCCACGCCGGTAAGCTTGAACCAGCGTACGCCTTACCCGTATTTTTATTTGATTCTATTCAATTTTATATGTCGAATAATTTATCGAAAAGATTTGAAGCTCAGGACAAATTTAAGGCCACACCAATTATCTTGAACCATCGAAGGCCCTTCTTTTTCAAACGCGTCTTTTGATCCATGGTGCCAGCGTTACGTTGCCCAGCATTCTGGCCAGTCAATTGCGTCTTTATGATGGTTCCGATTTGACCCAAGCGGAGCATTACGATGAATTCTGTACCCTCTCCCTTTTTACGTGTAAATTATGGTAAGTTTCTGCACTTCAATTTTGTAGTCGACTTTGTAGAAATTCCAAAATCCGCCTAAACGTGTTTCATCCTTTACCTGATGCATCGCATGCATCATTCCACCCCCTCCCCCACCATTCCACCTGATTCGAACGGCTCTACTGCGCCATCATGTGCGACGCGGGCGCGAGCAAGTACCTCTCGGTCGACCCCTCAAACAAACCCCTTCCCCCACCGCGTTCCCCCACGCCCTTCCCCCTCCTCCCCCCCCCCCCCCCCCCCCCCTCCCCCCCTCCCCACCAGTTCTGCGGATTCTTGGCGGGCGGAAGCGACACGTGTCTGCAGCTGATTGAGGGGCTGTACTGCGCCATCATGTGCGACCCGGGCGCGGGCTGATGCCTCTCGATTGACCTCTCTGAATCCTCTTCCCCCCCCCCTCCCCCTCCCTCTCTCCCCGCCTCACCAGTTCTGCGGGTTTCTGGCGGGCGGAAGCGACACGTGTCTGCAGCTGATTGAGGGGCTGTACTGCGCCATCATGTGCGACCCGGGCGCGAGCAAGTACCTCTCCGTCCAGCTCGCGCCGTCGGGGAAGCTCGCGGACAGCAACGGCACGATCCGCATCTGCAACGACTTCTCCAACCGCGTGTACGACGCGTGCCAGTCGCTAGCGTTCCCAGGCGTCGCGCTCACCATCGCCAGCTTGATTAAAAACCCCGCGGTATGTGCTTTTGGGCCGCCTTAAAAGTCGTCTCTATACGCGCCGGTCACCATCGTGAGCTTGATTAAGAACCCTTCGGTATATGCTGCAGCTGCCAATTGTAGTTTCACCCAACCTCGAACCAACTTTCCCCACAGATGTGTCTGCGAATTCGTTGTCCAGCTTTCCGCTTTCTCCTTTCTGGCTGCGATACGCGGTTCCGTGACCCCTCTATGTGCTCCCAACGATCACTCTAGAGAGTCGTGGACCCCTCTTACTGGCGCTACATCCCCTTCACATTCCCCAACACCCCCCCTCCTCCCCCCACTCCCCCCAACTACCTTCTTCCCCCCTTCCCCATTTCCCCTCCCCTGCCCGCCTCCTCCTTTCCTCTCCTTCAGCCTCTGTTGTTCTGACCATTCTCTCCCTTCAAGCCTACACTCTGTGCCTTCTTCTGCCGTCACTTCATTTTCCATCACATTTCCTAACACCTCCTTCTCACTAATGATTTTCTGATTTTCTGCCCATTCGCTTTCGCCCTCCGTTGCCGCTTCCTCTTCCCTTCCGCTGTCCAATTTTCTACCCACATAAATTTTTCTCTGCAAACCCCCACGCATTTCTCAACACCTCTCAACTATAACTACCTCTCTTTCCCCCTTACCCCAGCCACTCCTCCACCTCCATTTCCCCTTTATCCCCTTCCTTCTCCCTGAAATAAATCGTATGCACTCTGTCTTCCCAAAGATCCCTGTCACTCATTGTGACCCCGCTTGCTGGTACTGTATCTGTTACAGGACATGTTCTGCCACACATTCGCCAACACCTTCCAATCATGTTTTTCTTACCATTCCCTTCCCCCCTCCCCTTATACTCCTCCCCATCCCCTCAAACCCTCACCCCTTACCCCCCCACCCTCTCCCCTTCCCTCACTCTTCAAAATCCTGCACATGCTTTCCTCCCAGAAATTTCTGTCACTGGTAGTCACTCCGCGCAGCAACACCACTTGCATATGTTAAAATCCCCCATCCTGTAGCTTTCTGACCCATTCCCATTTCCCTTCCCTCTGCCCCCCTCCCTCCCCCATTCCCCCCGCCTCCCCCCTCTCTGCCCCCGAAATCCTGCATATTCTTTTCAGAAATTTCTGTCACTCGTCGTGACTCCGCTTGCCGGCACGGCAACCCCCCTAAACACCATCAACACCGTGCTAGTTCCCGCCGAAAACGGAACTGACAGTTGCTTCCTGACAACGCCAGGGGATAAATACGCGCAAACCCCCCTCTGCTGCGATAAGCTAACAGGTTTCCCCATGGAGTGCCCGAAAAACCCGAAATTCTCTAACGTGTCAGAAGTGCTCCCGTGGGTGGTGGACCGGGCTGTGCCTGCCACGTGTGCTGCGACTTCAAACAATCCTGGAAATACTGTGCCTGAGCCGATACCCTCTATTCCGGCGCCCAATGGGACCAACGGCAATGGTTCGGAAACCAATGGTTCGACGCCCAGTGGTTCGGCACCCAGTGGTTCGGCACCCAGTGGTTCGGCACCCAGTGGTTCAACTCCCACTAGTTCAACATCAAACACTACAGGCTCTGGGGAAAAGAGCGCGGGGTTGAGTTTGGTGCTTAGGGGTGGAGCGTGGTGGGGATGGTGGCCTGCTGCACTTGCTGCGCTGACGCTCCATGTGGTTTTGTTCCATTGACTTTTTTAAGTTGATTTGTGGCAGGTTGCGACTCTAGCCTGAATTGGGTTGGGTTGGATTAGACACTTGCCTGAAGCATTGAACGATTTTGATATTGGATGCTTGAAAGCCATGCCATGTTCAAGCCTACTGACTCACAGAACACAAACCCTCCCATCCCTGAGCCCTGACACTCATGGGGACTTCTAGGATACATGCGTTTGCCTTATTTGTTTGCCTCATGATGACAGGGATGTGGATTGGAACATCAGTTGCAGCGTTTTCTTATAGGGATATCAACTGAATTTGAAAACAAGACACTAGTGCGGCTTGGTGTAGCCTTGAAAGTGTACTCTCGAAAGTGTAGCCTCCACAGTGTAGCCTCGAGAGTGTATGGTAACTCTAAAAGTGTAGGCCCTCGGAGTGTAGCTCGAAAGGTGTAGCCCCTGAGAGTGATGTAGCCCCAGGAGTGTAGCCGTGCGCTAGGCTAGTATAGTATCTGGGAAAGACGAGGACCCGTTGTTGGGTGCAGGCTGAATCTCCAAGATGCTTGTTATCACATTGTACAGCTGCATGGGGCAGTAAGATGGGCAGAGAGAGATGAAGGAAAGAGAAATGAAGAATCCATTGTTGGGTGCAGGCTCAATCTCCAAGATGCTTGTAATCACATTGTACAGCCGTACGGGGCTGTAGGATGTGTAGAGATTTATGCATGATGGCAAGAAACCATTGTTGGGTGAGAGCGATGAAGATGAAAGATGAAGGATGATGGCAAGAAACCAAGGGTAGAGAGCGATGGAGATGAAAGATGAAGGATGATGGCAAGAAACCAAGGGTAGAGAGCGATGAAGGAAAATGAAAGATCCATTGTTGGGTGCGGGGCAGGCTCAACTCTTAAAATGCTTGTTATCACATTCGAGTCGACTCAAAAGACTCTTGAGTCGACTCAAAAGAGAGCGATGAAGGAAAATGAAGGGTCCATTATTGGGTGTGGGGCAGGCTCAATGCTTAAGATGCTTGTTCTCACGCTGTACAGCTGCAGGGATGCAGGCGATGGGTATATGGGGAGATGATGGTAGAGAGGATGAAGGGTAGCGAGGATGAAGGGTAGAGAGGATGAAGGGTAGAGAGAGATGAAGGGTAGAGAGAGATGAAGGATGGGGAAAAGGAAGACTCGTATTCGCCGTCGAAGACTCGTATTCGCCGTGGAAGACTCGTATTCGCCGTCGAAGACTCGTATTCGCCGTCGAAGACTCGTATTCGCCGTCGAAGACTCGTATTCGCCGTCGAAGACTCGTATTCGCCGTCGAAGACTCGTATTCGCCGTCGAAGACTCGTATTCGCCGTCGAAGACTCGTATTCGCCGTCGAAGACTCGTATTCGCCGTCGAAGACTCGTATTCGCCGTCGAAGACTCGTATTCGCCGTCGAAGACTCGTATTCGCCGTCGAAGACTCATATTCGCCGTCGAAGACTCGTATTCGCCGTCGAAGACTCGTATTCGCCGTCGAAGACTCGTATTCGCCGTCGAAGACTCGTATTCGCCGTCGAAGACTCGTATTCCCCGTCGAAGACTCGTATTCGCCGTCGAAGACTCGTATTCCCCGTTGAAGACTCGTATTCGCCGTCGAAGACTCGTATTCGCCGTCGAAGACTCGTATTCGCCGTCGAAGACTCGTATTCGCCGTCGAAGACTCGTATTCCCCGTGGAAGACTCGTATTCCCCGTCGAAGACTCGTATTCCCCGTCGAAGACTCGTATTCCCCGTCGAAGACTCGTATTCGCCGTCGAAGACTCGTATTCCCCGTGGAAGACTCGTATTCCCCGTCGAAGACTCGTATTCCCCGTCGAAGACTCGTATTCCCCGTCGAAGACTCGTATTCCCCGTCGAAGACTCGTATTCCCCGTCGAAGACTCGTATTCGCCGTCGAAGACTCGTATTCGCCGTCGAAGACTCGTATTCCCCGTCGAAGACTCGTATTCCCCGTCGAAGACTCGTATTCCCCGTCGAAGACTCGTATTCCCCGTCGAAGACTCGTATTCCCCGTGGAAGACTCGTATTCCCCGTGGAAGACTCGTATTCGCCGTCGAAGACTCGTATTCGCCGTCGAAGACTCGTATTCACCGTCGAAGACTCGTATTCGCCGTCGAAGACTCGTATTCGCCGTCGAAGACTCGTATTCCCCGTGGAAGACTCGTATTCGCCGTCGAAGACTCGTATTCACCGTCGAAGACTCGTATTCCCCGTCGAAGTCTCGTATTCCCCGTGGAAGACTCGTATTCGCCGTCGAAGACTCGTATTCACCGTCGAAGACTCGTATTCCCCGTCGAAGATTCGTATTCCCCGTGGAAGACTCGTATTCGCCGTCGAAGACTCGTATTCCCCGTCGAAGACTCGTATTCACCGTCGAAGACTCGTATTCGCCGTCGAAGACTCGTATTCGCCGTCGAAGACTCGTATTCCCCGTGGAAGACTCGTATTCCCCGTCGAAGACTCGTATTCCCCGTCGAAGACTCGTATTCCCCGTCGAAGACTCGTATTCCCCGTGGAAGACTCGTATTCGCCGTCGAAGACTCGTATTCACCGTCGAAGACTCGTATTCCCCGTCGAAGACTCGTATTCCCCGTCGAAGACTCGTATTCACCGTCGAAGACTCGTATTCGCCGTCGAAGACTCGTATTCGCCGTCGAAGACTCGTATTCCCCGTGGAAGACTCGTATTCCCCGTCGAAGACTCGTATTCCCCGTCGAAGACTCGTATTCACCGTCGAAGACTCGTATTCGCCGTCGAAGACTCGTATTCGCCGTCGAAGACTCGTATTCGCCGTCGAAGACTCGTATTCCCCGTGGAAGACTCGTATTCGCCGTCGAAGACTCGTATTCGCCGTCGAAGACTCGTATTCGCCGTCGAAGACTCGTATTCGCCGTCGAAGACTCGTATTCGCCGTCGAAGACTCGTATTCGCCGTCGAAGACTCGTATTCCCCGTCGAAGACTCGTATTCGCCGTCGAAGACTCGTATTCGCCGTCGAAGACTCGTATTCACCGTCGAAGACTCGTATTCCCCGTCGAAGACTCGTATTCCCCGTGGAAGACTCGTATTCGCCGTCGAAGACTCGTATTCGCCGTCGAAGACTCGTATTCGCCGTCGAAGACTCGTATTCCCCGTCGAAGACTCGTATTCCCCGTGGAAGACTCGTATTCACCGTCGAAGACTCGTATTCCCCGTCGAAGACTCGTATTCCCCGTCGAAGACTCGTATTCCCCGTGGAAGACTCGTATTCGCCGTCGAAGACTCGTATTCGCCGTCGAAGACTCGTATTCCCCGTGGAAGACTCGTATTCCCCGTCGAAGACTCGTATTCACCGTCGAAGACTCGAATTCCCCGTCGAAGACTCGTATTCGCCGTCGAAGACTCGTATTCGCCGTCGAAGACTCGTATTCACCGTCGAAGACTCGTATTCCCCGTCGAAGACTCGTATTCCCCGTGGAAGACTCGTATTCCCCGTGGAAGACTCGTATTCACCGTCGAAGACTCGTATTCACCGTCGAAGACTCGTATTCGCCGTCGAAGACTCGTATTCCCCGTGGAAGACTCGTATTCCCCGTCGAAGACTCGTATTCCCCGTCGAAGACTCGTATTCCCCGTCGAAGACTCGTATTCCCCGTCGAAGACTCGTATTCGCCGTCGAAGACTCGTATTCGCCGTCGAAGACTCGTATTCGCCGTCGAAGACTCGTATT